CACTTCCAGTTTTCCGCTTTTTCTTTCATGGCTCTGGTGGACTGGTGGCTAACGCTCCCCACAGCGAGGCCTGGGTTCGATACCCAGCCAGAGTAGAATCATCGGCGTGTTTATTTCCACCTTTAAATGCCATGTCGCAAAATCTTCATGGTACCTGGGTGTTACGACTGTCTGGGGGACTTACCTGGCACTAAAATGTAGAAAGCAAATAAATTGTTCAGGGGTTTATACCAGAGTTTGATTGTTAGTCAGCTACCTGTATACAGTACATTAATTGTACAAAATAAATTTATTAAATAATTATATGCTAAACGTGATTTTGTGACCATTACATCACCTGAAACAAGCAAACAGGAAAAAAAACAAACGCATTTTTACTTCACAGCACAAAGCAACTTGTTCCGTGGTATCGTGTCAGAACTTAAGACTAAATTATACTTTTTTGTGGTTGCATTACCATCATTCAAACAAATATCAGTATGTGAGTTTCCATTTTCAATCCTAACGATTATAATGGGAGAAAGTGAAAATTAAGCAGCAGAACTCCACTTATGCCTAGAACAGTTTAAACTTGGGGCATGGAGGCATGCACAAGTTTATTCATTTAGAAAAAGAAGAGATGTAAAATAAGAAAATGAAAGCCTACCTTGACAGCGAAAGAATCATCAGATGCTAAAGAGTTCAAAATCGAAATGCTAGGGACACTGTCTCAGAAGCAACATCGAACTCAATCTAAAAGGAATCTATAGAGTCAGGAATCGCGGGAAGAACTAAAAGCCATAAATGAAATCGAAAGAAACCCAAAGTATTTCTTCTCCTATGCCAAATCAAAGTCGAGAACAACGTCCAGTATTGGGCCCCTACTTAAACAAGATGGGTCCTACACAGATGACAGCAAGGAAATGAGTGAGCTACTCAAGTCCCAATATGACTCAGTTTTTAGCAAGCCGCTAACCAGACTGAGAGTCGAAGATCAAAATTATTTTTTTATGAGAGAGCCACAAAATTTGGTTAACACAAGCCTATCCGATGTTATCCTGACGCCAAATGACTTCGAACAGGCGATAAATGACATGCCCATGCACTCTGCCCCAGGGCCAGACTCATGGAACTCCGTGTTCATCAAGAACTTCAAGAACCCCATATCACGAGCCTTTTCCATCCTATGGAGAGGGAGCATGGACACGGGGGTCGTCCCACAGTTACTAAAAACAACAGACATAGCCCCACTCCACAAAGGGGGCAGTAAAGCAACAGCAAAAACTACAGACCTATAGCACTAACATCCCATATCATAAAAATCTTTGAAAGGGTCCTAAGAAGCAAGATCACCACCCATCTAGAAACCCATCAGTTACACAACCCAGGGGAACATGGGTTTAGAACAGGTCGCTCCTGTCTGTCTCAATTATTGGATCACTACGACAAGGTCCTAAATGCACTAGAAGATAAAAAGAATGCAGATGTAATATATACAGACTTTGCAAAAGCCTTCGACAAGTGCGACCATGGAGTAATAGCGCACAAAATGCGTGCTAAAGGAATAACAGGAAAAGTCGGTCGATGGATCTATAATTTCCTCACTAACAGAACACAGAGAGTAGTCGTCAACAGAGTGAAGTCCGAGGCAGCTACGGTGAAAAGCTCTGTTCCACAAGGCACAGTACTCGCTCCCATCTTGTTCCTCATCCTCATATCCGACATAGACAAGGATGTCAGCCACAGCACCGTGTCTTCCTTTGCAGATGACACCCGAATCTGCATGACAGTGACTTCCATTGCAGACACTGCAATGCTCCAGGCGGACATCAACCGAATCTTTCAGTGGGCTGCAGAAAACAATATGAAGTTCAACGATGAGAAATTTCAATTACTCAGATATGGTAAACACGAGGAAATTAAATCTTCATCAGAGTACAAAACAAATTCTGGCCACAAAATAGAGCGAAACACCAACGTCAAAGACCTGGGAGTGATCATGTCGGAGGATCTCACCTTCAAGGACCATAACATAGTATCAATCGCATCTGCTAGAAAAATGACAGGATGGATAATGAGAACCTTCGAAACTAGGGAGGCCAAGCCCATGATGACACTCTTCAGGTCACTTGTTCTATCTAGGCTGGAAATTGCTGCACACTAACAGCACCTTTCAAGGCAGGTGAAATTGCTGACCTAGAAAATGTACAGAGAACCTTCACGGCGCGCATAACGGAGATAAAACACCTCAATTACTGGGAGCGCTTGAGGTTCCTAAAACTGTATTCCCTGGAACGCAGGCGGGAGAGATACATGATTATATACACCTGGAAAATCCTAGAGGAACTAGTACCGAACTTGCACACGAAAATCACTCACTACGAAAGCAAAAGACTTGGCAGACGATGCAACATCCCCCCAATGAAAAGCAGGGGTGTCACTAGCACGTTAAGAGACCGTACAATAAGTGTCAGGGGCCCGAGACTGTTCAACTGCCTCCCAGCATACATAAGGGGGATTACCAACAGACCCCTGGCAGTCTTCAAGCTGGCACTGGACAAGCACCTAAAGTCGGTTCCTGACCAGCCGGGCTGTGGCTCGTACGTTGGTTTGCGTGTAGCCAGCAGCAACAGCCTGGTTGATCAGGCTCTGATCCACCAGGAGGCCTGGTCACAGACCGGGCCGCGGGGGCGTTGACCCCCGGAACTCTCTCCAGGTATACTCCAGGTTCTCTTGCACAACAGGGTCGGCACTGCGTCAGCGACAGTGCTCTCTCTACCTAACATGCAGCGTCTTATCTTTAACATGTGTGCATGCGCGAAAACAGCTAAACACCGAGTCGCTGGAACTGTGAAGCACACAGTTCCATACAAGGATTTTTGTAATTTTTTCATGCACTGGGAGAATGCTACTGACATTAAGCTTAAGGATTATATAATGTACAAGCATAAAGAAAGGATTAAAGAAAAAAAGACTCATTATAATGAATGTTATTGATAATATCGAGTGAAAATAGGAGGTGCTGCAGTCCTACAGTGCCTACATGAGCTGCCACTGCTCATCATTCCACCAATTGCTTCTCCTCCCTCCTTTACCCACACTCCTATATGCACAAACTTCTGCTGAGCAATCTGACATTGCATTTTTAATTCTACCCCATACCTCTTCATCCTCATTGTTTATACTCTCACAAACTTGTAAAATTTCACCTCTTACTTCCTGACATCCTGACACTGTTCTACTTGTGCCACATCCACCTTTTACTCTCATTATTAACTACAACTAAAAAAATTATCTAATATATCTGTTGCCTCTCTGTACACACGCAGTTCCTGAAATCTACCCATCAACCTTTTATCCACCAATACACAGTACAACAAACTATAGCCATTACGCCTTCCATCATATCTCATATACTAATTTATCCTTAGTTTCTTGATATATGATTACCTATTGCCAAACCTCTTTCTACACAAAGTTCAATCAAAGACCCCTTGTTAATCATTTACCTCGGGCACCCCAGGTAATATTAAAGATGATAGATTAGTGATCGCTTGAACCAAGCTCCTCAGTGATCTCTAGATTGTTAACAAGGGTTTCCTTTTCTATACAAGACTAGGTCAAACAAATTATTACCTCTCGTATTCTCTGGTGCGAACTGCTTCAGGAAGCAACCCTTAAGTCTCTGGATTCAGATTACCGATCAGAGAAGTCCAGTCTATGAGAACTAACAATTTTGTTACAAAGAAGTCTCGATTTCTCATCTTGAGGGTATGTTTATTACACTTAAAAATATTTTTTCTTGACTTTCTAGAGATTCTGTTACTAATCCACTAAGTTTTGAACCTGATTTATGCAATAATTTACATGTTCTCGTACATATAACGCTACATATCCTCCCCATTATTTCTCTCTATGTGGAATTATGTAAACCCCTGAATACGACACCCGGAAATCACGTCCCGACTCTATAAATTAAACTAAGTCTCAGGAATCGCAATATCATCAACGTTTCCCACACATACAATCAGAAATAATTCGTTCATTTTATTTCTGGTACTTCTACTATTTGAGTAAAATATTTTTTTATTATTTTCGTCAGTGTCTTTCCCCTTTTCATCTTTTCCTTTTCACAATTTCAGTTGTAATTATTTTTACCTTGACCAAATTTTAAATGATGAAGGTTACTTCTAAATTCCATATTATCACAATCTTGAAAATTTAAATAGCTCAGATCGATTATTCTACATGAAATCCCATACCATTAACTATTTCTAGTTTAAAGTCCTAACAGCTCCCTCCACCTGTCCTAAATAAGTGTAACCATCCCAGGCATGCATGCGATTTCCGCTAAAGAAGAAGTCCCAGTTATCGATGAATGAGACTTAAAGGTCCTTAGTGATTGTTCAGCCAGCAATTAATAATTGCTATTTATTTTCAACTCCCTCAACAACTCTGCACCTCCTTCTAATCTCCAGGCTACGAATTCTTTGCCTAATATTCACACCACACATTGCCTTCTCTACTGACTCAGCCTCCTCCTTGTTGCAACATTCAAAATCCGGGCTTCATACCCATATAAGAGCGTTGGTGCCATTATTCTCTCATATATTCACCTTTTTTTTTTTTTCCTTCATGGATAACGTTCTTTATCTTTATGGATGTCTTAATGCACCACTCACCTTTTTCCCCTAGTCTTTCACAGACTCACCTGCTGACACGTCAACTCTCAAACACCATTCTCTGCTAAGACGTTGTGCTGAGCGGTTTTCAGCTGCTTCTCCTCAGTTGCGACACCTGGTGGAGGACTTTTTACAACATCAACAACAATGGCGACTGCGTTTCGCCGGCATGTTAATACTGTTTGTATTCAATTAACACAGAGCTCTATCACCAGCGAATCAATAAATGTGTTAATGCCAGCAATCATTCGTGATACATATGGCATTCAGCGTGAATCCTTGTTTGGCGTCGCCTTGAATGGAACTTCACGGATCTTCATCAAGTTTTGTGATACTCAGATTTACGAGAAGATTGTGACCCAGTACCAGGATATAAGTAAGCAAGTCACCCCAGCAGTTTCTGTCCAGTTACATGACGTTTCACGGTCACAGACCGGGCCGCGGGGGCATTGACCCCCGAAACTCTCTCCAGGTAAACTCCAGGTAAACTATATGTGGGTATTTGTGCGAAACGTTCCTTTTGAGGCCAATGAAGTTGATATACGTGACGTTTTTGAACATTATGGGAAGATCCACCTGGTCACCATGGGTAGGTGGTCTGACAGCCACTATGCTGGTCTTCAAGAGGGGTCATTTACGTTGAAAATGTCCCTGCATCAGCCAATTCCTTTGTACGTACACCTAGAGGATTTCCGTTCCTAGGTGTACGTTACGTATCCTGGACAGAGAAGAACTTGCCGCCTCTGTGGCACCTTGGATCACATAGTGGCTCAATGTGTTCAGCGCCAGCTGCCCTCGGGGCGTGGTCGTCGTCCTGATGGCGAGGCACCCCGTCAGACTCCGGAAGAAGAGGTTGTCGAGGACTCGCGGCGTCTGACATCATGGAGTGCTGAGGTTGATCGGGCCATGCTATTAGAGTCATCTTGTGTGACTCTACCTGGTACTGCCTCCCTTGACGAGGTGGAACATGTGAGCAGTGAAATCCCTCTAGCAAGAGAGGCAGGTGATATGGAGGCCGATATTGAATCTGTGTTGAGTGACCTTTTAGCATCGTATGAGTCTGATTCTGTGCCATGTGTGCCTTTGTTGAAGTGTTCTGATGAGGTGAGATTATGTGTAGATGATGCTGATCAGATAGCTAAAGTGCGAGATTTGGAGAGTTCGAGGGTTCATACTGTTGAGGCAGAAATTCACAAGGAGAACACTCCAAGTACTGACATGTCTGAAGATGCTGTTTCTAGGAAGCGTGCTGTTACCCTGTCCGACTCCGATGATGTCTTGACCCCTGGACAACGTTCAGGGAAGAAGACGTGGTCGGAAATCACGGGTGGGGAGAGGTTGCGCAAGTCCAGGACAGCAGGTAATATCACGGGGATTGCCAAAGGTGCGGGGAGTGCCTTGGGTGCTTGCCGATGCAAAGAGAAAAAGGGAGTGGTGACCCCTAGAGGAAAGCCTCCTTTAACACAGTTAGGTGTGTAACTATTAATGTTAATGGTTTGAAATCTGTCAGAAAGTGTGTGCAGGTGCATGAGTGGTTGAATCGTTTTGCAGTGGATGTGTGTTTTTTGCAAGAACATAACCATAAGGTAGGAACTTTGTTTGAGATGGATGGTTATGACATTTATGTGACTCACTCCAGACGTCTGAAAGGTGGAGTGGCTGTGTTGATAAAAGCGACCAGCCCGTTTGTGATGAGACATTGGGAGGAAGGGGGGGAGGGTCACGTTGTGTGAGTCTTGGGGGATTGGGGTAGTAGAAGGGTTGGTTTTGTAAGGGCATATGGGCCGGCTGAACATGATGTTAATATTAAAAATACTTTTGTTAGAGATGTCTTAGTATATTATTTGAGGTCCCTGCCGGAAATTACAGTGGTCGGTGGTGATTGGAACTGTGTGGTGCGCCGTAAAGACGTTGAACCGAGGGGGGCGGGTTTCTGTTCACTTATTTTGGGTGACTTGTTGTCTGGGCTGGGGTTGGTAGATGTACGCGGAGGACGTGACTTGGGGATTGAGCATACTTTTGTGCATAGGGGCTATGCGGCATGTTCAGATAGGGTGTATGTGTCTCAGCGGGTGGTCGTAATCAATGTGCGTGTGTTGAATGTCTTTTTCTCTGACCACCGGGGAGTTTTTGTAGAGCTCGACTGGGGGGGGGTCTCCCGAATCATTTTTAGGGATACTGGAAATTGAATACAAGGATGCTACAAAGTGCAGATGATAGGGAACTATTCGTGGACTTATGGGCGTCTATGGGAGTAGACTCCTGGGAGGGGTGGCATTTAGTACGACGGTGGGATGAGGTTGTGAAGCCTCGAATTAAGGATTTTTATGTGCATCGGGGTAAGGAGGCCACTCGCTTGGAGTATGGTTTCTGAGGTACCTGGAGGGTCATCTACGACAATGCTATGTGCAGGGAGAGGCATCTGGGGTTTACCCAGTGGATGAGATCGACGCTCTTGAAGAACAAATCCAGGTATTGAAAAATAAGGTTTTCGATGGGGCGCGCATTTCGGGTGGGGTGGAGGAGGCTTTGTGGGGTGACAAGCCGTCTGCTTGTGTCTTACGAAGTCAGACACAAAGACGAAAAGCCACTGAAATTGTGAGTTTAGTGGTGCAGGATGAAGTTGATGGGTATAGTGAGGGACAGGTCTTAACAACAACTGAGGGGATAAGTTTTCATGTCGATACTTGGAGTAAGCCCCAGATGCAAAGTAAAGACGTGAGTGAGCATGCAATACAGGAATTGGGGAGAGGAGTACGATGCAAGTTAAATGATTATGATCGCCTTCTCATGGGTGGGCCTATATCTGAGGCAGACGTGTGGGAGGCACTACAAGGAATGAGTAAGGGGAAGGCTCAAGGCATTGATGGCATCCCTTGTGAATTTTATATCAAACATTGGGAGGTAATACGGACTTTTATGGTTCGTTTACTCAATGTGATGAAGGAGGTGGGGGGTGTTAGGTCTGTCTCAGCGTATGGCAGTGTTGGTCTTAGGAAATGTGATGTGCCGTTAGCGATTAAGGACTACGGACCGTATCGTTGATGTGTAGTGACTGTAAACTATATGTAAAAATTTTGATGAATAGAATTAAGAAAGTGTTTGATAAGGTAATTCATAAGAGTCAGTTTGGTGTGCCAGGTAGGTCAATGTATGATGGTCATGGGAATATCAGGGAGTTTGTTGAGGAATGCGAGGTGAGGGGTGGGGGTGGAGTTTTGGCTTTAGACTGGCGAGCCACTTTTGATAGTGTGGAAAGGGAGGTTCTGTGGAAATTTATGAGATGGCAGAGTTTTGGAAATGAGGTCATCATGTGGGCCCGTTCGTTGTACAATGGAGCGGGATTTAAAGTACAAGTTAATGGCAAGTTAGGTGTTTTTGTACACTTGAGCAGGGGCATTCGTCAGGGATGCCCGATGTCTCAAATGCTTTTTGCATGTATGCAGGACCCTTTTTACTGGGCTGTTTGTGGACGGGGAGTAGAGACATCGTGGGGTCCGAGTAGTGGTCGACCGACCCTTGTGGGTTATGTAGATGATACTACTGTGTTATTACGTTCACGGGAGCAATTGGGTTTTGTTGGGAGACTTGTTGACATATTTGGCAAGGCTACGGGGATGTGTGTTTATAGAGAAAAATTGAAGATTATGGAGTTGGAGGAGTGGGTGGGGGATGGGGTGGATGCAGAGGGGTGGACTGTGGTTGATCGTATCACTATATGTGGTGTTCATTATATGCAGGAGGTCGATCAGATGAGGGCGTGTAATTCGGGGAGGGTTGTACATAGTGTCTTGGTGCGCTTAAATAGTCTACGGCCGCGACATTTAACCCTGCATCAGAGGGCGGTGGTCATTAATGTCCTGCTTTATAGCAAAGTATGGCATGTTGCTGCACTGTATCCTCTGTTGCAGGGGGACGTCAAACATCTTTTGCATAGAGTTTATCGATTTTTGTGGGGTTCAGGTTGCGATTGGCTCACAAGAGCGGTGGTGGAGACACCAATGCATCAGGGAGGGTTGGGTCTCATTCCTCTAGAGGCTCGTGTCATGGCATGTTACGTGAAGCGTCGTTTTCTCCGACTGGGTGGGATGCATGGTGGGTTAAGTGAATTGTATCACGACCTGCGCAGGTGGTGGGGAGGGAGGAATTTAATTAGGTGCGACACAATGCTCCGCGTATTATTGCACATGGGGGACGTGCGCTGTGTAAAATTATGTACCTTAGAAAGGGCGGGTATGGAGGTAGTCGTGGTGCGAGTTGAAGGGATGTATCCCATGTATGCGTGGGGTGATATATGGAGGCGAGTTCAACAGTTGCGTATGCCTGCTCAAGTACGGGAAGTGGTTTTTAAATTTTTACATGGAATCTTGCCGTCCGGGGTGGTGTATAATAGGCGTTTGGGGGAAGACGGGTTGTCCGGCGTGCAGGATGGAGGAATCTGCTTTTCACGTTGTGTTGTGTATTTCTGTGAGACTTTAGGTATGGTACGAGAGTGGTTCAGTAGGGTTTTGCGTTTGGTTGGGGGGGGAGGTTTGTCGGTGCTCCGGGCGTTGAGTTTTGATGTAGGTGGGGTTGACTTGCGTGTACAACGTGCGGTGTCGTACGTTGTGGCCGATTATATTTTCGTGTCATGGGCTATGAGGCACGATGAAGGCAACAGTAGAATTAGGGTTTTAGCGGGGACGAGTTATAGGACAAAATGTCGAAATCGGTTGGTATATGAGGGGAGATGGGAGAGAGACTTCCCGTCTGAATATAAAGCCTTGGAGTTACGAGATTTGAGATAGTTGTGAGTGTTCAGTGGGTAATCTAACGGGCTGGTCAGCTGTGTCTAATTCTGTTTGTCAAGTGCGTGAATGTTTTGTGATCTCCGTGTTCATGTGCGTCTCCTATGTAACGGTGACGACGATATATCTTAAGGCTTTGTATATACAGCTTTTAGGAATGTTTTTCGTTATTTATGCCTCAATACAAGTCATTGGTGTACATTTTGTATATGGTGTGCTTCCTAGCACAGTTGAACGTTTTCTTATTTCTGTTTATACTTTATGACGTGTTCGTGTGCTTTTCAATAGTATATGTATCTATGCAAGTGTTTGTTTTTCTGTAAGCTGTGATGGAGCTTGAACTATATATGGAAGCAGTATTTTTCAATGTTTGCCTCTCGTCAGTGTATAAGTTCACTTATAGCTGCTTGCATTGTCTTTTCTTTGTGTTTATTTGAGATGTCAAATATCACAGTGTAGTTTCGTTTTGTTATATTAGATATTTTCATTTTTGTGAATTGTAGCGTCATCCTGTTTCCACCTTTGCACTGTAATGCCTATCCTTAGTCAATGATAATAACCCCGTGGTAGTCGCCCAAATTAACGTATTGTTGTGCTCTTTAAGGCACCTGAGTTCTTAGATTACGTCTTGGATACGTTGTGTGTTGGCAGGCGGAAGCCAAGCCTAGTTATATGCCAGATGTAGTATCATGTTGTATAATACGGATTGCTTGTGTATGTGGGGTAATTTTGTGTGCTCGTTTTTGTCACATTTTTTTTTTTGTATAGTCTTTAAAATTTTCCATGTTTTGTTTTTTATTTTTTATTATATAATAAATAATCTTTTAGTGCCTGGTATCTCGTTGACAAAATTATTTTATGCACCCAAATGAAGTAAAAAATAAAAAAAAAAAAACTCTAAACATCTGAACATAATCACTTCCTCCCACACACCCGCTTCCAATCCTGATATCCGTCTTTCATTACTCAATTCTTTACTACCTTCATCACTTGCTCTTTTCAATGGTCAATTATAATTTCCTTCTTTTGCG